TGGCTGATTTTTTGTTAGTTTGTTAAAACAGCTACTATTATTATAATAGAAGTCATAACGGGTGACCATATGCTTATTTTTGGCCATATTATCCCAGAAAGTTATTTCATCATTTATTTTTTCTAATTTGTCAAGGTTAATGGGGATTGATGTCTTCCCGCTAGTCAGAAAGAATAGACCAAAGTAATACCAGTTTCTGTTTATGATTTATTCACTTGAGGTGCAAGTATTTTAATGCTAATAAATGTGAATCCAACCCGTGTTTCTGAACACCTGAGAACATATCTCAATCGTGCTAACTAGCGTGTATATAAGGAGGCAACGGATCATATCCCAGATGATCACCCCTGATGGTATTCAAGCCAAAGACCTTAACCAGGAATATCTTTGTTGTTCAAATCTGTCATCTTGTGAATCTCTTTTAATAATGACTCTGTTATTGTTCCAGACAACCAGTGAACCTCGGTTCGTCTCTGATCTTCATGGAAAAGGTCTTACCTGTGTGCAGCGGTTCTCAGTCTTCACCACCTGCCTGTCAGCTCTCTAGTGCGACATGTCTTGTAAGTACCAAAGCTCTCGAATCTCACGCACATTCTACTGAATCTCTGGGGTAGAGTCTGCAAAGCCTACAGAATCAAACCCCTATAGATCCATGCAACAAAAAGCTGGGTCCAACCCAAGGGTGTAACTTTGTGATTAATGTTGGTGGGGACACTCGGGTGGGGGATGATGGACCTACAGTTACTCAACCCGAACTCTTTCATTAGGTTTTTGTATTTTCCAAAAACGAGCTCAAACATATATTTATTGAATTCTTTCCTATTGTTAAGAAAAGAAGAGAATTATGATACACTAATATTTACATTTATAGATAGAGAGATGTCTTTTAGTGCATTACATATATAGGACCCAAAAATATTAATATGTAAAAAAATAACGAATAGCAGCCAATTATGATGCCAAAATCGATATATCATGCATCCCTAGAAGAAAGTCCAACACCTCACTGACAAGCTGCATAGCCTCTGTACCCCCGCTGCTGTGTGTCTGGTAATACCATCACACTGGGTTAACGTTGATGATGTCAACAGTAAGACAGAAGTCCGGAAAGTAAACAATGGAGACCAACATGGAAGGAAGCCAGGGGAAAATCAGTGTGCTTTATTCTTTCGGTCTATTATCTGTCCGAATCCCTTCCACTAGTGCTGCACCATGTTTACTGAATGTAAACAGAGTTGTTTTGGCTTGTTATATCAGAAGCGACTGGCACGGTGTGTTGACATCCGTAAGTTGCTCTCAATGGTGTCACATCAATTCGCGGGCCACCCTGTTTTTGTTGTTCCCACACCATGCCGATCAGAGCCGAGGCGATATTAAAGCGGGTCGCTTACCCTAATGCTCTATAAACCTTGTTGGTACATGGTACTGCGAACTCCTTAATAAACCAGAGTATTTTTTATAAAATAAATAAGGTGGCCTTGGTCCTAAATCATTAAGAGAGTGTTATTAGGTCATTTATGCAAATACAGAGCCAAATCCAGGACAATAAGCCAAACCAACAAAAAATGATTCACACAATTAGGCTTGTTTAATGGCCATTTTAGTTCATTTTCTAAACACTAAAACCTGTTAACTGAGCTGAAGAGAAAATAGCAAAGATATAAAACTCAGGCTCTACTTTAAGTAGAGTGACTGTGGCCAGATAAATGGCCAAACATCCCTCTATGTGCTTTACCACACTTGTTTTAAAGGATCAGATACTGTCAAAGGGAAACTCAAAATTCACTATTTAGAACTACACAGTGCAGGCCATTAACACTGAGCAAGTGCAATAATCAGATAAGAATTATGATGAGAACTTTGCAGTGATAGCAGCAATCATTATAAAGACAATTTGTCTGAAAGATTTCAGAATGTTCTTCGTTTCATTTTGGATAGGGGCCAGCACCTCATCTACCGCTGACTGATTGGAGGGGTAAACAATCCACCAATTAGTCGTGTCTGTCCTCTGACATCCATTAACCCCCGGCACTCCGCACTAATGAGAGTCGTGTAATAATTCCCATCAGTTGTGCTTATTAAGGTGAAGAAGAGAACAAGGCCATTCTAATTGGATGAAGTATCAAGGTCTGTGAGGGTTTCATTTTGTACAAAACTAAACAACTCATTTACTATTGTGCATATTAAGTAGAGCTGCTTTGTACTTAATTACAGCTGAAACACAGGAAAACATTTTCTTGTGCATTGTTGTGATTGGTAGCAGAATGTCTCTTGTTGTAATTACCTCACTGGAAAATAAAAGCTATAAATTGGTCTTGCATCTCAAATCTATTTTCAGTCTGCGTTCGGACCACTGTGAATGTAGTCATATTCCCGCTGGCAAATGCTACTAATCATCAACAGCTTGCAGTACCTGTATGTGTGCAAAAGTCGTGTGTGAGCGGTGGACCCCTCTGGGGAAACGCACAAAAAGACTCACATCTTTTAACGCAAGTTTATTTAAAACAGAGAGCAGATGGTGCAGACTTGGTCTGGACATAATGAGACGGTGAGTGGCGGGACAAACCGGACATGGCAGGACAGCTGTGATTAAGTTCGGGAGGCGACCGGAATTCAGTCCTCTCCCTGGAGGGAAGTTTGCTGGTGCCAAGTGATGTTTTTACAACTTCATGAAAACTCCTGAGCAGATTTTTTCAGAAGTGTCTGGATCAGACCATATCTTCTGTTTTTTTAGACCAACCCTTGGCAAAAACTAGTTTATTCAAGTATACTAAAAGTGCACTAATTTCATACTTAAAATCTGGCAGTGCGCTTAGAGTTTACTTATTCTAAACTATATTTCATATACTTAACAACAGTATAGTCAAGTGTACTTGTCTATACTATTGTTTACATTTATTGTTTGCTAAAGTATACTTTAAGCATACTTTAGTAAACTTCAAAAATATCCCAATTTAGTTAGAAGAAGTATTACTTTAGTAATACTTCAAGTACACTAAAAGTACATTGTTCGGTATGCTTTCTAAACTTATGCTTAAATATTCTTAATAGAATTTACTTCAAGTATACTACTTTTTGCTAAGGGAAACAGTGAAGTCCTGAGTAAAAACAAAAAAACTATTTTGAAAAAAAAGAAAATTTTTTTTTGCCTCTGCATGGTTTTCTTGCATAAAAGAACGCTCTACAAACACATTTCAAATATATCTAGGTGCATCCTCTTCCTTTTCCTCTTTTTGGACATCCAGATTTGGACATTTTTGTGTGCTTTATTGGCGTGCTAACGTAGCACTGAAACACCTGGTAATATTTTTGCAATTCTTTCTCATGATATTGTTGTTTTTGGCAGAATAAAAGATTTTAATCAGTTGTGGTGGGTCATCCAGTTATAGTACTTTAGAATAAAAAAAGCCACACATCATCACAAAACCAAAACATGTTAAGGTTATCTCACCAAAAACTTAAATTAAAGGCATGCAGACACTCACTCAGTTTTCTAAATACGTTTCAATACCTATCCAGGAATCTTAATTAGTTTTGTCAGCTTTCATTAGAGCGATCTGTAATCTGTGACCTTGGAGCGCTGTTGTTTTAGGCATCAGGGGGACCCTTCTCCTAAGCACATTCCCCGTCACATGCAAACCAAACACCAAGTTGTTGTGAGTTTTTTTGCAAATGAATCATCTTAAATTTACTTGTTTCACTTCTTTGCATTAAGTTCCTGGACTGAATTATATATGCCTGTTTTTTTAAACCAAAATTTCCCTCCCCTTTTTTCATTTATGGCTTTAAACAAAAATGGCTTCCTTCACCCATCTTTCAAAAAATCTTTCCTATCTGACCAAAACTGACCAATAGTTTGTTCATCAAAGGGGTGTCCTTTGTTCTTGAGGTGCAAGTGTGCAGCAAAATCTTGCACAGACCTACTGGCTGTCCTGTGTTGCACCATTTGTTTATTTCCTTGATTATAGAAGTTTGAAGAGCCCTAACTGCAGTGGACCAGATGAACAACGGCGCTTATTTTTGCTTGGGATGTTCTGTTTTTGGGATGAACCATTTTTTGTCAGAACTTCTACTTTTGCTTTAAATGAATTAGTATGTTAGGTCTAGAAAAAATCATTCTGAGTTTCTCAGAATCTCCCGACAGAAATGGAAATACAAAAATATTGTGTTTCTGTTTTTTCGCCTGTGTTTGATGCAATGGCTCCTCAAAAAATGCCCAGTTTCAGCCTTTATTCCAGATGTAAGAGGACGCACATTTGTCAAAAGATTTTTTTTTTTCCTGAGGGCTCACATTATATTAACCCCAAATTACTGGGAATCGAGAGGTTGTGTTTGTGGAAGAAAGACTTAAAAACCTTTTCTGCCTAATCTCTTTCTTATTTTATCTTAAAATGCAACCCATTCATAACTTCATGCTATCAGTCTGCTTCTGTTAAATTAATTACTTGTTTCTATAGGTATGGTATTAATCAGGTGTGCTTAATGAAATAGAACCAGAACAGCACAGCTAATTTCTCTTATGGTGGAATTATGCTTTCATATCAGGCCATGTTTTCTAGATAATAAATTAAATAGTTATTTGTATTTTATATTAACAAGGATTTAATTGACTGAAATGTTTAACCAAAATAGCAAAAGACATTGGAACTCTGCTGGGAGGTAAAAACCTTTTCTTGACACCAAACTTCCAGCATGTAAGTCCCTGCTGAACAGCTTTTATCGAAAATGAACAACTGCATATCAACAGTGTTTTTATGTTTTCTCCCCCTCTGGTATTTTTAATCAGTCAATCTTGGCAGGTGGTTTTTTTGGTAAACACCAAATCCTCAACACCTGTTGCCAGAAGACTTCTCTGTCTGGCTTTCTGCAGCTTTGTTTTAACTGAAACACTGTCCCAGAGAGCAACGAGACATAAATAACCAACTGTGCCACGACCAAAGTGGGCGTTATTCCCTGACAGACGCTGCACACAACAACAAATAAAAAGATCATAACAGTAGGAATTCCCAGAGGTTCAGCTATTCTCTGAAGATATGTCTCAGGCTCCTGTTGCGCCCCGTCCGAAGAAGAGATCGAAACCAGAGGCTGGTTTTTCCAGGCGTGAAGAGGCAAGGTTTCAGGATGTTAGAATATTCCTGGTAGAGAGGAAAATGGGCCGCAGCAGAAGAAGCTTTCTGACCCAGCTGGCGAGGTCAAAGGGCTTTATTGTGGAAGACATTCTCAGGTTGGAAAAAAAAGATTTTGTTCTTGAATGACTGAGCAGTTGTTTGCCCCTAAAAGCTTTTCTTTTGTGTAGAGCTCAAACCCAGAAGAGCAGCCTTTTCTTGTATTTTTGGCACCTAAACTGAAGTTTCTGATGGACTTCTATGCAATTTTCTAAAAGCCTTGAAGATACGACTTAAAAATGTGCTTCAATCAGTCCAGCAGACAGGCTTATAAAGATACTAAATTAAAGCTTATCTTTTCTTTCATGTTCTTTTTCTGTATCTTTTGTGCCAACTGTGTCTAATTAGCCAGTTATCTCACCACTGAGACCTCATAAAGATCTATTAATTATGGATTTTGGTAAGTATTGTAACAATACTAAGGTGTCACAGTATTCAGAAACAGAAATTCAGCTGAACAACAAAACATATCTAAAAGCAGCCATTCCTCTTATTTCTTCTAAACCTAAATATTGACTTTAAGTATATAGGGATGTTAACTATATAATTTAACTATCAGTTGATCTTTTATTTTATATTGTTACATATAGTTCAGAAATTATAAAACAAAAGCTGAACTTCATCATTCATCATTCTAGGTAATTGTTGCACAGAATCTAACGTTTTTATTTTTCTGTACTTGATGTTTAAAGGCCTTGGGGAACTAAGTAAATCTACTGAAATAAAGCAGATAATTTGTCACTTTAGCTGTTTTAATGTGAGCACATATTGACCTCGCAAAAAAATAAAGTGCATTTCTTTACAGACATGAGGTCTTAACCTAACCGGCGACAATGAAGTCCAGCTGATTTTCCTGGTATTTGCAAATATCCAGAAATTCATGAGATTGTTCAGCTATTTTAGCCTTTATTCTGCTTACTGTCACAACAGGAACTCTGTTTTCTTGGATTTCTTCAGGGTGAAGAAAACAACCAGGGAGGCGAAGACAAAAAAGTCTGAAAAACAAAAACCCAAACAAAACAAAAAATTGTGAAATCAGCATTATTATATCCAAAAACAGAAAACTAAGAGGGGACAGAAAGCTCTTTATTCCGACTTAAATTCCTAAAAGATTTTTTTGCAGCCTTTTTAAAACACCATCAAATCTTATTTTTCTCCCTTTATGTAGACTGATGGCAAAAACGATCATTTCATTCTCTAGATGGCCTTTGTATGTATTTATTTACAAGCCTTTTAAAGCTATACTCTTTTATTTACCCACTACTTTGAAAAAAACAAAAACACTTCAAATTATAGGAATGATATGATAAAAAATATATGTCTGGTATGAAAATATAACAGGTTAAATATCTAATACATGTTAATAATGACATACACTATAATTTATATTACCATAAACCTTATTTCATGGTCCCTAAAGAAAGAAAATAAATCGAGTCAACCATCTTCATATTGCTGTCAGTTAGAAAACATCACAACAAAGGTAACAAAGCCCAGAAAAACTTTTCTAATGACTTTGGTAACACTTTTTTTATGCCAAGCCTCGCTTAAGAACAAAAGCTTTGTCTGCCTGCTCCTTGGAGTGATGAATCCTCCATTGTGTGGTAATTATGGAAGCAGCATGCCTTGTTCGGTTTTTCTGTCTCCGAATGAAAGTGTCTTTTAAATCACAGACTGTGAGCACAGCAGAAGTCCTCTGCTTGACATCAGCCACATTTTAGAGTTAGTTTCCTTTGAGGCCGGTTGATTCTCTAGATGCTTCCACCTTTAACTATCGCCTTTGCTGTTCAGTCCTGTAAAAAGGATGCTTTAGGTTTTTGTTTCCACAGCTTCACTTTCATTTAAAAGGAGGATATGAAAAAAAAAATGTAAGTGGGGTTGAAAATCAATGAGAATAGGCTCAATTAAAAAGCCCAGACATGTATACAGTACTTTATTAAATGTGCATGTGTGAGGAAGAGATTGTTTGAACATGTTTCTCAGCTTTCCTGCCAGCCGTACGCCAGCCTGGCCATGGCAGCATTCCCAGAAACACAGCTTGAGCGTTCCTACGGTTACACTTGGCTTGATACAATTGTTTGAAACCAACGACAGGAAGTGGAGCATGCCTGCCTCAAACTGACATTAATCCTGCAAGCTCACCAAACTGATATCAGCTGCAGTTTGATAGCAGCACCTCCCGTGTCCGGTCTTGCTCATGTTATAGACAGAAAACTTCGAACATATGGTCTGACACTGTGAAATGTGCTCGCACAGACACCACAAGCAGACACACGCGTCTCCCCACTGATCTGCGTTTCAGGTCCAGTGCACATGGATGTGGGTCCAAATATCGACATGTTTTTCCCGGTTGACTGATGAGCTGTTTCTGAAATGGGAGTAACCCAAATGTCCACACATGCTGCCTTGGAACCATTACTTTTTCTTTTAGCCAACAGTTGTAATAAATTTGAACAGTGAAAAATAAACAAAGGATTTCCAAACTTACTAATCAAGGAAGACTCTTAATTAATCCTTTATAAACTCTCTAAAAGAATGTAAAGTATTGCATTAAACTTAAAAATGTTTTTTATTTAAAAAATATTCAGTCAGAATTGCTTTTTTAAAAAGTATATTTTTTAAACATTGTTTGGAAGAAATATAAATATTTGAGTCATAGCCACCGAAAAGAGGATGGCTTGGCAGTAAACGGATGTGTCCATGAAGCTTGACGCTTTCTGACTGTAGATGGTTAGCTTAAAGCAGCCATTTATAATGAAATATGTAAAAGCAAAACAAAATAAAACAAAGAAGCATAAAAAGCTCTTTTGCTGTCAACCTGTGGAGAAAACATTGTTTTTACCCTCCAGCAAAAAAAAAAAAAAAAAAAGGTTTTCTCCAAGTGGAAAAGTTTATCCTCCAGGATTATACTCTTAAGGGAAATATCCCCTGGATTTAAAACTTTAAAATGACTTCAAGTTTTAGTTTGAATTTCTGTTTCTATGATTTTAATTATGATAATGTTGATTATTATACTCCATGTTATCGATGTACCTCAGCACCATTTGAAATGATGGCTAGGCTTCAAAGGGCTTTCAGAAACTGAAATAGAGAAATTGTGTATATAATAGAAACAAAATAATTTATTCATATATAAATAAGTTGGAGCTGCTATCAATACGTTTGTATAAGATGGAAATTGTTGCCACTCTGACAACTTTTCTGAAGTTGCTTAATGCAAATTTTTGGTAACATTTTCTTTTACAATACATTAACAACTATGTAATAACATGATAATAACATTGCAAGTCACACTATAGTACTTAATAACAAGAACAGCTTTTTTTGGGTAATTACCCCAAGATTACAGTATATAATTTCAAAATACTAACCTGCATGTAATTATTAGTATATCCTAATACCATTGGCCACCACCTATCACTGGCCTGCAAAGTAAATAACTTATGATCAGGTAAATAAAGCTTTATAAAACTGAACTCAAGATATATATATATATATATATATATATATATATATATATATATATATATATATATATATATATATATATATATATATATATATATATATGAGTTTAGTTAAGAAGATTGGCTTTGGTTTTCTGCTATATACCAAGTGATAAATGGCACTTTATCAGATAAGAACACATTCATTTATGGCTGTCTGCGAAATGAAAATGAGTTACCTGGTAATAACGGTTTAAAATCTAAGTCTGACTTTACTTTGTCTGCCTAAAATTTGAATCACAGCACTTACCAAAATTCTCCATAAAGTTTTTATTGTTACCTAGTAATATAGTATAACTTGCTATTTTATTACCATGTTATTACATAGTTATTGATGTACTGTAAAAGAAAGCGTTACCCACATTTTTTTATTTTTGTGAGATGTTTCTTAAATTTGTTCTTAGCTATTAATTAAACTATACACTTTAAGCTTAAACACAAATAAAATGTAAAAATGCATAAAGGATTATAAAATGAGTTTGCTTAAATACTTTTTTATCAAAAGCTCATTGTCATTTTATGCCATATGTTAGTTCAATGTGTTTTTACTTTGATACAACAGAAACACTAAATTCAATTTAGATTAAACTGGTTGATGTTATATGTATTATGTTGAATTTAAAACCGCATTTTCCAAGGCAGTTAAAATCGACCTTCACAGTTTCTAGTTAGTCATAAAATACTCTGCAGACATTTTCTGTAGCTTCTCCACCTACAGAAAACACCACTGATTAAGATAACTTTTGATGATGCAACAAAGATAATAGAAATGTTTTCATGACGATTTTTTTTTTTTTACATTTAATCAGTCAAGCAATTAAATTTTACCTTATCTCTATCACAGACACAGCTCAATTTCCCCAGCATAACAGCTGCAGGCTGAGGAATAGAAGATCTAAAAACCTTAGTTTAATGTTATTTTTCCCAGCACTGGTTGGATCATGAAAGCTGTCATCAATTCAACCTCTAATATATTCAGTTACAGTAATATAGTATAATTTCTTTCAGTATAATGTGCTTAAGAGGAAGGACATTTAATTATGATCTATATAGGGTAACAAAACAGGACGCTGCGGCTGAATGAAGCAAGAGAAGCGGAGGAGGAACTTTATGTAGAAGAAGCTGCAGAAAAAATGGCGGTTGTGGTAAATGTGTAAAAAAAAATTAAATAGAAAAAAAGACCTGGCTATGTCGAATCAATACTTTGACTTACCAATAATAAATGTGATGTTCAGTGTTGTAAAACGCTGAGGCCAGGTCCAACTCACCTCTCAACAAAAAAGCTTTGGAGAGAAAAGAAGTTCTAGACTAGCCATGTTCAAAAGCATCAAAAAATTGATAAAATCAGCTGTTTTTCCTTTGAATAAAAACTTAAGCAATCTGACTGTATGATTCAAGTGTCTGTAGAGATGAAGAATTTAAATTGGGGCTAAATAAATAAACCAAACTGAATTGCAATTCAAACCAGAACACCTACAAGCTGCAGAGCTGGAACCATTTCCAAAATCTCAGCAACAATTCTGAGTGATTTTCTGATCAGTATGAATATAGAGGCAGTTTAAGGAAGACAAAGATGATATTACAAAAAAGGCTTATTTTAACAAATACAACTATATCAGTTAAAGTATTCAACTAATTAAAGGTCAAGTAGTTTGTTTTTGTTATTGCTATTTTTGCTGCCTTTGCTAAGTTATAATACATGTATTCACAGGGGCCAAATGAGAGGCGAGAGGAGGCATGTGCTTGGGATAATTGCACAAGGCTGGATGCCTTGATTGGTTCTTGAAACGAATCAGAATCAGGGAGCAGGAAAAAAAAAAAAAATTAAGTCTCTCTTGAGATGAAGAGGGCATTGGTTGAATAACTTCAGAGTCTAAGTAAGAAAAGAGTCACTGACACTTCTTGGAGATTGTTGTTTACCCAGTGTCGATTGCCCAGCCACAGCATGCAAGGCGGTGATGCAGAGACTTGAACTGCATTTTAAAGGCTTAGGAATGTATTCCTTCACTCTGCTGAGACCAAAACGGACAAGGGATGGTGTTAAATTGAGCGCTGAAGAATCACATGAATCCTTTATGAAATATCTGAATGTCATTGCATGCTTTAAGAAAGTCATGAGTTATAAAAGAACACAGTGTTTTCAGTTCAATCAATCAATAGATTTTTTTGTGTGCCTTTATTGATGTTTGTATCAAAATTAGATTACAGCTGAGAAAATTCACTAATTTATATAGATTAAATCTTATATTTAACGCCATGCTCTGATGAGAACGATAATCTGACAAATGCTGCACTGGTGGTATTTATCCAGCACAATATGATATGCCAACGTTCATACAGATAATATTCTATAAAATATTCTATATTTCTATAAAATTCTGCTCACATTTTTAACATGTAGATTGCAGTGCTACCGACCATTCAGATAATTAGGATTCGGATATCAAAGCTGTTTTTAGGGAGCTGGCCAGACTCTAAATGAAACTAATGACATGTCATTGAACCTAATGGGTGTTTCTGTCACCCACGGAGTCAGTTCAGTGTGAGAGAAGGAGAGACGTTCATTGCTAAGTATTTATGGCTATTTCTGGAAGACTGAATGAACCAACAAAGGAATAAAAAAATAAATAAATCAAAACAAACCAAAAAACATGGAGAAAAAAGTAGTTTATCATTACTCCTCATGTTGACTGAGTTTAATGTCTCACGATACTAAACTTTTCAACTCGATACTGATACTAAGTAAAATATTCGATACTCGATGTTATTTTCGATACCACAAGGATAAAAACAAAGACTCCAAAATTCAACAGAAAAGTTTTCATTAATAAACAAAATACAATTAATAGATAAATAAATACAAGAAACAATATTTTGAGGTTGTATGCTGTGAACAATATTAAGCAAGCTTGATAAAAAACTTACAAAATTAAAATGAAGTGTTCCTTCCTTGGCTATGCTTTACACCAGGGGTCACCAACATGGTGCCCGCGGGCACCAAGGGGCCCTCAAGGACCACAAGGGGTGCCCTTAGAGTCTTCTGAAAATAGAACAACTCAACAGTGAGCTACTTATGAAATTTCACTGTATTCTGTTGCTCTTCTTTTTTTAATTGGGTTATAGAACATTTCATTGTTTAATCATATATGGCATTTAAGCATTTTTAGAGATTTCAAAATGAAAAAGTCTAAAAGAAAATTATAAATTTAAAGAAACAATAAAGATATGTTTATGATGTATGAAGTTTAGGTGAGCGTTGACCCTTGCATTGGTAGCCCTTCCTGTGACTCAGTACCCCTGAATTAGCCCTCAACTGTAAAAAGGTTGGTGACCCCTGCTTTACACACATAACAATGAAACTAGCCAAACTGGTTAAAAAACAAAAATAATTCTCAGCAGCTGCACCTGTTACAGAAAAAAGTCTGAAACTGAAAAGTGCACAGAATTATTCAATCACATAGTGTTCAGAAAGTGCATTTTCCTCTAATCTGCGCATAAGATGAATGACTGTTTAGGTGCCACTGGTGGTACAGTAGCACTGTATCGATACTTTTTAAAATGAGTATTGTATCCGGACACAACTTTTCAGTATCGATACTTTTTTGAGTATCGATACTTTTGACAACCCTAATAGAAACATAAGTTTATATTAGGGCAAAAGTAACAGTCTTAAACTGAAAATGGATGGTGAAATCTTTTTGAAGAATGACCAGGAATTCTTTCTTAATTTAAACATAAATTAGGGTGTTGTTCTTTAATTTGGTATTCAAGACTGGTAATCAAACTCTTTAATAAAGACGACACATTATTACACTTTACACCACATGGTTTAAAACTAACAACACTACAGTTATTTTACAAAATACTTACTTTATTTATGATCTGAAGCATGTTTTTAACAGTATCGATTTACCTTTATGATGATAAACCTTATAAGGGCATTGTATAGACTTTTTGTGTTTAGTGTATTTACACATTAAAAACTAGAATCTAAAGTAAAGCGACTGTTTTTTTTTTATCCTTTCACAGTGATGCAGTCACACACGTGGTGTCAGAGAACAGCCAGTCGTCTTCTCTCTGGGCTTGGCTGAAGGGTTTCTCTTTGTCGGATCCTTCCACAGTGAATGTGGTGGATATCAGCTGGTTCACTGACAGCATGAGAGAAGGACGACCTGTTGCTGTGGAGACCAGACACCTGATTCAGGTTTGTTGAGGTTATTGTTGATGAATCAGTATATCAAAAAGTTGCAGATATTTATTTATATTAGACACAACATATTATTCATTGTCGTGTTGAATGGTCCACATGGCCACGCATTTTCATACAAATATTCTACTTTAGAGCAGGCATGTGCTTAGGCAGGAAAACCTCACAAACCTGCAGGTCAGCGGCCCTCGAGGACCGACTTGGGCACGTCTGATTTAGACTCTATAGTTACATTATAAAGTGGAAGAAGTCTAACAAGCCTAGATCATCACCACTCCACCATAACATGTGCTGTTGTTCAAATGCCTTAAGGAAACATTTGAGTGAACAAAGTGAACTGAATCAATTCATTAACTGATTCTTTGCCACCTCATTAAGCTGAGGTTAGCGTGAGTGCGTTGGTCCCTGTGGGCCACAGAGCTGCCTTCAGCATAGCACTGCCACTGATGAATATTACACTAACTAGTAATGTTAAAGAAGAGGCTCTGACTCACACACTGACTGAATGATCTGCATTAAGTGAACTATTTAGTGAATGATTCTTTTGAACAAATCAGTTGAAAGACCCGATACTTGGTGTTCAGTACACTCAAATGAACTGCTGTTTCCATCACTAAAAACACAAACTCTGACAGCTTTTATGAGGTGTTTGTGCTAAAAATGCTCCTTTATACTTTTCACTGAATATAGAGCTTTGCACTTGCAGTTTCACTTTGGTCATGTTTGTCCAAAATCATTTGTTTTCAAGCACTAAATCTTTTGGAAGATTGTCTTCCTCTCTGAAGGACCCTCCATGTTCACATGAATTTTTAAAAACTTTTCTAAGAATTGTTACACCGGGACCTAATGATAAACCCTCTATAACAGGGGTCTTCAATGTTTTCCAGGCTAAGGACAAACTGATGTCGAGAAGGAGCGGGAACCCTAATTATATATATTGTATGAAATTGTGTTATATCAAACTGGTCCTATAGTCACTCTATTACAGATGGAGTGACGTAATGAAAGTAATTTCGTCCTGTGATTATTAAAGTATTTCGTTGATGAATCAGAATCAGATGAAATGGTGCCCAGCTTGAAAGAGCTCCTGTGTGTCGGTAAATGGTAAATGGCCTGTACTTATATAGCACTTTTTCAAGTCAGGAGACTTGACCAAAGCTCTTTACACTACATTCAGTCCTTCACCCACCACACTGATGGTGGCAAGCTACATTGTAGCCACAGCTGCCCTGTGGCTCACTGACAGAAGCGGGGCTGACACTGAAAGTCAGAGCCGGGGCTTAATAACCTGACTCCGCCAGATGGATTTGCTCCGCATATCCATCTGGAAACCTTCCGTTGAAGTAATTTTGGGAGGGGGCGAAAATACTGGTTAGCTGATTGGCCTATGTTGGTAATAGACGGGCCAAATAAACCAATCAGATCAACGAAGCATATGACGTACTAACAGAGCGACGACGAAAACACAACCACAATCCAGGCTACTCTTGCTGTTCTTGCCGAAACCAGTCGGGAGAAGAGCAAAAACATCTTTTCCTCTGAGAAAAGCCTCCAGAGCAGTGTTTTGCTCTTCTTTCAGTGAAGAAATACTCTGTAATTCCTATAAAACTTGCTCAATAGCCACGCTAACGCTAGTTTCATTGGCTGAAGCCGCCATGTTCTTTAGACTGAACAGTCGCGCTTCTCGTTGCGTCACACCTCAACCCGCCTCAAAGCCAGCGCTGATTGGACGTTCGTTTGGTGAACGGCTCCAAATTTTCTTTAACGAAGAGTCTCCAGACTGATTAGCGAGTGAAATCTTGAAAGCTCGCGAGATCAGGATGGTCTCACGAGGCTAGGGGCTTAAACCATCAATCCTTTAATTTCAGGGCAAACTCTTACATCCAACACCACTGTCGCCCCTGTGAATGTGTGGATTGATGACTGAAAGACATCTACTGCCTCCATTTATCTCTACTACAGTGTGTTGAATTTATGTTAATGTGTATTTAAAGAAATTTTAATTAGTGGAAAAAATTGTAGGGGGGATATAAAAAAAGTCTAATAGACCAAAACTTTCATGACCCTCATGCAGTACCTCAGTGGACCCCCTAGAGGTCGCGGACCCCCTATTGAAGATCTCGGCTCTATAACATTAAATCTTTTGGAAGATTGTCTTCCTCTCTGAAAGACCCTCCTTAGCCACAATGATCTATCATAATAACAATGATGGTGATCTGTCACTACATACATTGAATTAGCAGCTCCTATAGCTTACGCTCTTACTTTGAAACTTCTGCACTAGGCCCTGTTTACAGAGAAATATATGTTTTCTGAGGTTTTAAATATATTTAGAATATAATGGAATCATTTAAAAACAACAAGAACATGACTCCATAGAAGTAATGTCCTTTCCTTTTTATGTTATTCTCTATTTATAAAAGACATGACTAACACCAGTTGTCTCTTCTTATACTACTGACCCTTTTCCTCTCGGATAACAAGAACGACGTCCTCCGTATTGTGTGAGGGTATCAAATGAAATCCTTCACTGGATGTCAGGGCTTATAGCTTCCTGCTAATAGAGACATAAATACCATTTCACCGATGCATAAAGATTTTCCCTGTGAATGACGCTATGAGAGCAGGGTAGCACTGGTCCAGAAAAAAAGATACACCATCTATATTTCATACCGCAGAGAGAAAAAAAAGATGTCAAAGCGTTGCCAGTGTGAAGAGCCTGGGATCAATATTCAATTCAGTGAACTAATTACAATAATTTCCTACATTTAGAACAAAGATTCCAACTCTGACTTGAAGAGGTTCTTGTTTTTTATGTTTGTTTAGATGAAAGTAAAAAAAAAAAAAAAAAAAAGTATATATACTAGATGAGATCATTCCAAATTTGTCATATAGATTAAGCCTATTTCTTTTCCTGCCACTCATTTTCTTTCTACATTTTGTATTTGTTATTAAAACTTATAATGTCTAAATTTACAAATCAGCTTCTCGTATCCTTTATTGCTTATATTAAGAGAAAAAATAGACTCCTCCAAAAAATCTTAACAGCTATAAGCCCTACATTGTGTCCTTTCACCGTCTTATTACCATTAAGCCTTTCTTGATGAGATTTACCATTTGGTTTTTTTTGCCGTATGAGTAAATATTACACAGTCAAAAACACACAGTGATACTGACCAACTGACTGAAGGTTTAAGTTTCCTGCAAAATGTAGCTGGAGCACAAACCTATTATATAATTTTCCTAATTTTACAACTCTAAATTCCAAATAAATTCAGATTAGGTTGCCGCTTCTTCTGAGCATATTTGCTCTTTCTTCCTCCCAAAATTAATATAAAGAACTCAAACTGCAAAAAACAATTCACTATGACCTGATGGTTTCTCTGGTTTGGAGCCTGACCCTTCCCTTAATGTATTTAAGTCGAAAGTAACATAAAAACCTGGGACACTCAAGTTTAACCAAAGGGAGACTTAAAGGACTATAATCACTAATATAGGACCTCGCAGAGCTGGCTGTCTCTTTTGAGCCCAGAAGTAAACAAGCACAGCAGATGCAAAACATGCAGGTTATTACCGCTCTTTCTTTGTAAAATTTTCAAAGTTTAAAAATACAGAATAAATGTACCTTCAGTCACATCAAAATTATCCTTCTCTATATTTTTCCTCCTCACTAAACGTCATTCAGCACAAAGTTCTCATAAACACCAGCTTCACACAGAGAAAGTTCTGGTTCCGTGCTTCTGAATACATCTGTGTCTCTTTCCTGAATAGAGTCATTAGAAACGCCACTAACCAATTCTTGTCCACTTTTGTTCCCATAGAAAGTACCTCTAGTTATAGCTGAGCTGGTGCTTTCAGTAACTACCCAGAATACTCTTGGTTATAGTCCCATAGAAAGTACAGAAGAAAGTGCAGAGGTGGATAACCCAGGTCCAGAAAGTAAAACCTGCAGAGATCAGTTCCAACTGTTTCCAGCTCCACAACACAAACTAATCACCTGGTTAAGTGAACGGGATGAAGGAAAAACAAGGTAGTGTTTTTACTTTCTGGACCTGGATTATCCACCTCTGTTGCTAAAAGCTTAGGTGCTTTAAGGATGAGCTTGTGTTGCTTCCTTGAATGGAGCAATTCCTTCCCCACAGAAGTACTCCTGCCCCAATGCCTCCATGCTTTTTCTGTTCATCTGAGTCACTTTACTGGGCAGAGGCTTTACATAAACTACCGCTGCTATTAACATTGTCACTGGAGCCCTTTAATGGTGCCTCCCCATGTGATTTAAAGAAATTTTCCCTCCTCACAGTGACTTTTTGACAGCTGAACAAAGAAAAGTCTGCAACAGCAAAATATGCATTAAAAGTGTAATCTTCTTTAAGCAATAAAATGACTACTTTTCAAATTTGTATATTTTGCTGTGTAATTTAAAGGAATAGTACACCCAAAACATGATTAGCCTTCATTTTCTACTCACCCCCATGCTGAACAACACTCTGGAGTACTTTTTTGATATCTCAAATGCATCTGGAGATCTGGGAGGCTTCTTGCTGTCTGCTGACATTCAAATAATGGAGGTCCATGGTGCCCGAGACAGAAAGGTCCATAAAAGTCCACAAAAAACATGTAAATATTCCTCCATACTGCTCGTCCAATGTATTCCAAGTGTCCTGAGTGGGTAGCATCCAGAATTTACTCGAAACGAAGTCATTTAGAATGTTTTTAGAGCATAAACAGTAGTGTATAGGATTTCCTGAAAGCGCGCACATGCGCGTTCACGACGCTACGGAAGCCGGCAGACCACTTTTGTGGACTTTTTTTATGGACCTTTCTGTCTCGGGCACAATAGACCTCCATTATTTGAATGTCAGCAGACAGCAAGAAGCCTCCCAAATCTCCAGATGCATTTGAGATATCAAAAAAGTACTCCAGAGTGTTGTTCAGCATGGGGGTGAGTAGAAAATGAAGGCTAATCATGTTTTGGGTGTACTATTCCTTTAACGCAATATTACCATCAATATATAAATTTAAATATCCTCTCAAACTAAGACTACCATGCCCCATGCAGTTACACTAAGCCCCTGCAAGGGGGTTAGCCCCCCCACTTTCTGAACCACCATGTAATCTTTGTTTTTGATTGCAATTGAAGAGAGTGATGATTGTTCATGATTGTTCAGTCTGACTCTGCTTCTGCTGGAGCTTTATTCCCTATAAAAAAGTAATCTTTCTCTTCTCGCCAGATGGTTACTCAGAGTGCGTGGACGCTGGAAAGTCAATAATTTACTAATTTGCAAGACTTTAATTGTATTGTATAATAATCTGGATGAAAGTGGATTGTGTATAATTACATCAGGCTCTACACTGGAAAATATCTAAATCGAGAAAAGTAATTTTCAATATAATAAGTTCATTTGTTCTTGAATTGAGAAGGTAAAAGAGACATTTTGCCAATGGAACAAGACAATTTACATTTAAAATAAGAAAACACAATTGCATTGTCATATTTTAAGTGCATTTTATCTAAATATCTTATGTCAAGATTAAAAATACTCATTACAATGGAACATCATCTTTTTTAGCTACTCAAATTAAGGGTAAATACACTTGATTTAAGAAATGTTTATTTATTTCTAGATTGTTTTTCCAGTTTAAATCTATGAATATATTTTATTCAAATGTAACGGAAATTATTTAAATTATTTAAGCAGAATTTGATCGGAACTGGATTCCATGTAACTTTAGTTGAACTAGATCAGTTTTTCTTGCAATATTTGTGGGGCAATATTCGTGTAAGAGCCAATTAGAGACAAATTCATTTATAGTTTTAAAAAGCGTTAAAATACAAGATTGATAATTTTGTTTGTTGTTAAGATTATAATTTAATTTAAAAAACTCTAATATTAAAACCATAGAATATTGAAATGCAATTTGAAATGCATATTTTTGGGCTTCCTGCATGCTGTAATTTTATACGTGTATTTTTTATTTGCTTTTACGTACTGTACGTAAGGACTGAGGGGAAAACAGACATGCTGGAAGCAACTCAGTTTTTGACCGAGTTTATTTTATACGAATATGGATGTTCTCTTATTTTTGTTTTCTTTTAATAAACATCACAAGTTGAAGAACTTTATCTGGAATTGCTCGCGTTTCAATACTAGTTGCTAAACTGTTTTTCCATGCGGTACAGAAGAAACTAAAGGAGCTGGAGTCCCGCTACAATTTGTATTTCAAGGAGCAAGAAAAAACAATTGAAAAAACTAAAAGATTAGTGCTAAATCGATTTAAGAAGCATTGCAAAGTAAAAAATTCTTTAAAGCTTTACAGTGTGTAGACTTTACGTTTCAAAGTCAATGTTTCTGTAAACATTGTGAAATATGGTATTTTATTTTCCATTAAGCAGGGCGGCTGTTTGGCCCATTTAAGGAAAATGTGGTGAGATTCAATAATCTATAATTTGAAAAGAATAAAACATGTAAATCAAGTACTGGAGTTTGTGAGGATGTGTGTGCTTTGGAAGACACATGGGTTTAATGTCTCAAGAGGAAATGCGTAGGTGCAGGGCCAAACCACTTTCCACAGGAACTGGAATCTTACTGACCTTCACCCCAAACGCTGCTCTGAGAGGATTTCATTAACCCGCTCCTTTGTCAGTGTCACAGGCATTAATGTGGAAGGAGCAACAATTCTGGGCTGTATTGACGGTTTCAATGTTAACACAATTCTGTGTGAGATGTAGCAAAGCTTATGGTGCCCTTTCATCTCAGCATATGGCGTGCATGGAGAAACTAAACCCCAGCGTGCAGACTGCTCACATTAGCTTAGTTACATCTAAGTCGCAGAGCAAAGGTGGAGAGGACACCGGAGGGAAGCCCAGGAGGGGATGTGTTTCTACCTCTGAGCTTTAACGTCCTCCACTTGTACAATATGCCTGCATAATAACTGAGCCCAGATGGGAGAACCAAGCTCAGCATGCTGATGCACGGAGGTTTTTCTCCATGGACCCACAATGCCATGTTGGATTAAGCAAAGTGCTGTTAAGGTGGAATAGCAAAAGAGAACCCCATCCTGTTGTGCTTTAAGGAATCACAAATAAGAAATGTTAAAGGAGGAAAAGTTGTTGAATGAAATAAATTAAAAGCTTTTACTTATTTATAATTTTTTTTAAGGGGGGGAACAAACCAACCCATCAGTGTAACATCCATTAACAAAAACGGTTTTATTATCCCACCATCTTCACTCCTGTATGACGCCCTTACCAGAATTTTAAAGGTTTAAAGGTACCCAGGAATAGTTTTCTGGTTAGAAAGACTTAACAATATTTCACTGGGATTTTACCTCACCAATAAAGATCTCATAGAACGTAACTGAAGTTGAAGAAAAAAGGTCTAAAAAGGTCTTTCTTGATGGAAACATTGCCCTCATCCAAATCATGCCACTGCAGCTTACCCTGTGTATTTGGCTCTATCCATCTTCCTATCAACTCTGACAGCTCCCCTGTTCATCTCCACACTGTGATCTTTGCACCACTATACTTAACATTCAGACCAAACTGTGGTCTTGTTTGCTCAGATTACCTTCTTCCACATGTTTGCTGTTTTTCCTATACAAGAGACAGGACTAATTATTGCTTTCTTGTGATAAATTTATAGTTTGCTAGTCTTCATAAAAGCCGGATTTAGAAAAGAATAGAAAATCCCTTTGTTGTCCCAAAGTGGGGAATTTATACATAGTATAAATACCGGTAGTAAAAAATGGTCACACAAATCTGGACCTTAGAAAAGCGTTTAAGAATAACATAATAGTGAAGAGTTAAAAAATAAACAAATACTGCACTGTAAAGTGTTTTAATGATATAATACTGTGCACCCAGAGAATAAATAACTAATATACAGCTATAGACATCTATAGGATGAAATGGACAAGTGGGAAGTAATTAGTTACATTTACTAAGTTGTATTTACTTGAGTAACAATTAAAACGCAAAATGTATTAAACTTTTAGGAGTAGGTTTACTGTTTCCTACTTCTAACTTTTACCAGAGTAATAGTCTTCTAAAGTATTGCTACTCCTGCTGGAGTAAAATCTCTGACTAATCTGTCTTCTGTGAGTAATTTGAACTCAGGTAAACATACAGTAAACAATAGGATGGAAGTTTGTTACCCTGACCTAACATATATATATATATAAAATCATAAATCATAAAAAGTATTTCTTATGCACAAATTTGTTCCTGTATATTCATGATATTTATTTGTATTCTTTATGAATCCGAGTCTTTAAAATGCCAGAACTTGCACATATTGTCTGTCTGACAGCATAATTTGTAAACATTAAATGATGTTATTATCCAGCAGTTACTCTGTACTCAAGTAACATTTTTACTGAATACTCTTTTTACTTTTACTTGAGTAAAAATAAGGTCACACTTCCTCCTGAAAGACAGGTAAGGTAAGTTCACCAAAATAAACCACAAAAGTTAAATAATCAAACAAAACCTTTAAAAGTTATAACCTGATTTAAACCAAGATGTTATACTAAATGATCTGTAAAAATGCAAACATAAACAAAGCCGGGATAGTATATGAATGCAAACTACAGTATAATGAGATGGTTAAATCAAGTAAACAACAAAATAACAAATGTATAAACTGAGACAAATGGTCTTTGTCACAATGTGGATTACTATTTTTATATGGACCATGCTTGGTAAATTGCTCAGGCTTGGGATTCTATTTTATAACCTGAGCCACACAGGTGGACAATATTTGTTGATTATAATTTATTTTTCTGAATTTTTTCAGAGGTAAAATAGTAAAAGGGTATGTAAAACATTTTTACTGCACGTTTTTAAGGAGTAAGAAAATGTGAAGAAGCTCTGTGATTTTTTTGTGTGGCATATATCGCCTCCATGGATGGTTTTTAAAGCGATGACATATTACATTTTATGATGATGTGCAATTGTTGCCCCGAATATTAAAAATTAGTTTGGTAATCCTTTTGCAGCTTATATTACAAACGTGGAACGCTTTATTCGAGGAATGAAAAGGCAATTTACAGGAGGAAAATTGGATGATGACAAGCAGATTTGTAATGCCACGGGTTAGGTAGTGTAATGGATTTGGATGCCACCAGACTGTGAGATGAGTGTCATTAGCCTGTTGCCCCGGGGACACATAATCATAAAAATAACTTCTCCAAGGCAAATGGCTGCATTTAGATGTAATTGAATTTGAACTCTTGGCTATGTGTTCATCAGGAAATGGCTTTACACACATTTACAGATTTAGACTGTCAGCAGTTCGGACTCAGAGGAAAACATGACTATGAGTGTTAGTGTGAATGAGTTTCTGGTTATTTCTTGTACACAGGACATCCTGCCGGAAGCTCCTAAGGCTGCCCCTGTGAATAAGGTTTCTCAATACGCCTGCCAGAGACGGACAACCACAGAAAACTACAACAAGATTTTCACAGTAAGAAACTCTTTAAACGCATTGACTTTCAGCCACCTGAGGCCGACGGTCTTACTTTGCAATGGAAAACTCTCCCCTAATCTGTTCTGCTCTAATTGGGTAGCTGGCTTGATTCACTCGCCAGCACTCTGACACAAAACAACATTAACCTCCGAATGAGCAGCATCTGCAGCCACAAAACACTGGAGGCAGAACAGCTGACATGCCTGTGATCCCTGCCGCAGGAGGGCAGACATGGACACGCCCCGAAGCTCCGCTGCCATATCCATCTCCCACCTTGTCAGTGGATTCATGGATCTGTCTTTCTGCCATCTGTTGCTGCGGATCACAATGATAGGAAGGAGGAAAATCAGCAGCTAAAGAAGGGGTTACTCAGATTTACTAACTGAAGTGTTAATGAGTGGGAAAGGAACAGAGGCGGATGTTGCATTCATAACCATTTGCAGCAGCTGCAGGTGGTGAGTGAAAAATGAGTTGAGGAAGAAAGAAACAAGCTGGTGTCAGCATGTAGTCAACACAATTCCCTGATTTGAAATTAATAATTGCACATTCGCCGAGGCTTCTAGTGACAAACGGTTTAACTGAGTCTTTTTTTCCTTGGAATTAGAAAAAACACTCAGAAAATTCACAGTTACAATCAATGCAAACAAAAAAAAAACTCTCCATAAGAAATATATGGATTTATCTTGCATATACTAGTATGACCCACTGATTTTTATTGTGTTCTTTTTGAGTCAAAACAACCCTGATCCTTTGAGGCAAGGGCACCAGTGGTTATTTGCTCCTTAAATCAAGAATCAGGAAATATTGTTCCCAGCAAAGGGTGCACATGGTATGCACCAGTGCTTTGATAGGGGCTATATGTCAAAGTAACAACTACAGGGATGGCAAGACACAACGTTTCCAAGCAACACTGCTCAATGTTACACTGGTTGCCATGTTTGTCCAGGTAAACAAATTACGGACATAATGAACCATAAAATCTAAACGAAAACAAGATTAATCAGATCAAGCGGAATCTTTAATTACTCTGTGGTCCATTTCTTAGGCTCATGTTGAGACTTTGTTCCCATTCAGCTGTACACAGGGGATATCATCGCCACATAGAAACTCAAATATTCCATAAAAATAAAAGTTACTTTTAAGTCATACATCCCATGTTAATTTACAGGACAAATTTGGAAGACTGCTGACTTGCAAGTTGTGGACCTTCATCAAAACGCCCTATGGAAAGAGTACTCTACAAAAGATTGCTTTCAAAGAGGGTTGTAGAGTCAATCAGAACATTTAAATATTACATAACCAGGCTCAAAATGAATATGTTTCAGCCATAATATGTTTGCAGCTGTGGCCGTGCTGAGAAAAGTCACCTACATTGAGTGCAGCAGCTGACCCTGTTAGGCTGCAGGTCCGGCTGCAGAAAAGGTGCTAGAGAGAAATTAAGTTCATCTTGGTTCTTTCTCTTCTCTTGGTGGAGTGATGTTATTCTAAAAATCATCAGGACAAGGAATCATGAGATGCTGTAACTTTTCCCGGGAGATGTCTGCAAAACCAACAGATGACCAGCGCATTGAAATGTATTCCGAAGCATCTTAATAATCGACTTGACTCTGTGCCTCTCCACTCTTACTCTAGACTCTGAGACGTTGATTTTTAAGAAATATCGCTTACTTTGGTCCACTGGGCAACTGTCCAGATTTTTCCCCCCCTTAGCATAGGTAAGACACTGACCAGAGGTGGAAAAAGTACTAAAATATCATACTCAAGTAAAAGTACCAATACTTGGATGAAATATTACTCAAGTACAAGTAAAATTACCCATCCGAAAAATTACATAAGTAAAAGTAATAAGTAGCTAATTTAAAATGTATTTTAAGTAAAAGTTACCTAGTTACATTTAAAAAACAAGCTGTTCAACGGGGCAGGGGCATGTAGTGAAAATAGGACAAGGAGTCATAAATCATAAATCCAAAACTATTTAGTTGCTGCCAGTTCAGTCACCTTTGGCAGACACATATGGCATTGCATGATGATACTGTTGGCCCTCTTGAATTTAAATGAAAAGCAGTCTTTCAAATGTGGCCAAGGATTTTCGTTGTTTTGGGCAGCAGAATTCGATGTTTCAGCTAGCATTTCTAATGAAACGTTCTCTAAACCGTTTTCGCTCTCCTGGTCCACCTCCATCTCGTTCCCAATCTCCAGAGATGGGAAGTAACGATGTACAAATACTTCGTTACTGTAATCAAGTAGATTTTTCTGATATTTTTACTTTACTTTACTACTTATTTTTATGGCGACTTTTTACTTCTACTCCTTACATTTTTACACAAATATCTGTACTTTCTACTCCCTACATTTAAAAAATTGGCTCGTTACTTTAGTTTTGAATCATTTCAATGGAGTTACCGTTATTATTTTTCACGTCATCAATATCAAATTCGATCTAATTGGATGGGAATTTACGTTGCATTTGACGCACCACTACAAGATGAATCGACAGATTCTGCGGTATTCATTGGCGGCAAATCATTGCAGCTTGGTGGCGGTGGCGTTAGCATAGTAGCATGGACGACGAGATGATTGAAAATGAACACAACGGAGATCTTGTCCTATTGGCAGACATCCATTTAAAATGTAGGCAACGGCATGAAAAAAGTGGTTTCTACTTTTACTTTTATACTTTAAGTAAATTTACAAGCCTTTACTTTGTTATTTTTACTTGAGTAAAGAAGTTTAATCAGTACTTCCACTTTTACCAGAGTATTTTTTAATACAAGTATCTGTACTTTTACTCAAGTACGGAAAGTGAGTACTTTTGCCATCTCTGCCAATCTCCTACAGAAAGACTTGGCGCCTGGTAGCCTAGATCTACATGCTGATCACGTCACTCACTGTAGTGCTTCCTGGCCCGATTTTTTGTCTTCCTTTCGGTTTTCCAACGTTTTTTTTTTCTCAGTAACGGATGGGATTTGTAAGGTAACGAAATACAATACCTCACTCAAAACGTAATAGAGTAAAATTAAAATTACCGATTTTAAAAACTACTTGAAAAATACAAAATACACAAAAAACCTACTAGATACAGTAAGTTGAGTCAATGTATTTCGTTACTTTCCACCTCTGACATGTCTCTGGTTCACACAGGCTTTGACATGAGTAATGAGGCATTAGAAACTCATGTGTCTTATTTTTTTTGCATTTTGTTCTTGATGTCTTGACTCAAGCCTCAGTCTACTCCTCATGAAGCTTCTTAAATGCACAGTCCTCTGAAGGCTGTGATTATCCTTGCTGTTTGTACTCTTTTTGTATCATATTTTTCCTTGAACTCAACTTTCTATTTATATGTGTGAACACAGAATGACGTAAAGACCCGAGAATCTTTAACAATGACCTTGTGACTTATCCTTTATGTTGCTTTCTGTTTGCTGATCAACTTGCAGATTGGGATAAATCAAAATCCCTTTTCAATGATCTCATGTAATGAAATGTATTTCCCAAAATTAATATTTTGGGAAATAGAGATCTGACATATTTCACTTGAGTTATGATGAAACTGTTTCAGTCCATGAAATGAATGAAAAAACCATTCAAATCAGTCACAATATTCTTATTTTTTTTCTGAGCTTCTTTTTGTGGGTAATCTGTGAGTTGCCTTTTTGTTCCTAATTTGCATTTTGTTGAGTTATACAAAACATTTCTTTATTAATTTATTTTTTTTGGGAGGAATATGAAGCTGAGAAACGCCCATGTGTAATAAGGTGAGCCAACTGCCAACTCTAAGTGTGGGAGTATGGAGACCCCTTGATGAGTTTTTGTAAGACCTATTAAGCACTGCTTATGAGGGCCTGTGAGGCATCTGCTTCATAATGAGTCTTTGCTTCCCAGAGAGGCTAAATGTTCATATTCTTGGCGCACGTGCAGAGCAATTTGCCCACATGTTTTTGCACGTGTGTATTAAAACTCTACGACTCATACACATACTTTCACATGTGTTTGTCTACACCAATGGGCAGGTGTACATGTGCACAATCACCATGTTCTCACCTGAGGGAGGCGGCTGTTCAATTTCTTATCCACGGTTTCTTTCCACGGCATTAACTCCATAATTAGCAATCCCTCTCTGTTTTCCTATCCCCATGATTAACTCATTATCTCTGATAAAAACACATGGACAGAGTGTTTCTGATTATAGCAAAAGGTTTTTATAGCTTGGACCTGAGAAAACTAAAGGTAAAACACTTCTTCCTTCCAATCATCAAATACAGAAATATGAAAAAAAACAAAACAAAAACTGATTTATATTGACCTTTGAAGTTAAACCAAGTCCTTAGAAATTATAGTTAACTAACCAGACAGGAGCTCTGTAATGGAGTGGTGTGTGATGCTAATGAGGAGAAACCAATTGATCCATATTGATGATTCACGACGTGCTTCACTGCCTGCTTGGTTGCAAAATACTCTGACAAATGGTTGCCTCTCTGCCGTATTTACATTTGTATATCTGAAGCACTGGCTTCATGCTAACATCTACTATGCCTTGCTGAACTATTTTTACCTCTTTAACGATTTCTCATGTCACATTACAGCCACAAATCTCAGTGCATTTAATTAGGATTTTATGAGACAGACTCATACAAAATAATGCATCAACATGACACATGAGAAAAACTATACATGATTTTTTTTTTACACCTTTTACAAGTAAAACATGAAGGTGTGGCATGCGTTTATATTTAGTCCCTTTTATTCAACTGTTTTTCTTCAGGATAGATAGAAAAGCTGTTGAAAAATCAGCAGGAAAACAACGATATACATACAGCCACACAATAAAACCAGAATCAAAGGATATTAATCTGTAAGATCATTTGATGAGAGTTGAAAGTAAATGTTCATTAAAGCAAAAACCATAATCCCTCAACATCAAAGTTGACTTCATACCATATCACCCTTTCAGTGTATTTTTATAAGGTATCTAGCTACAGGATCAATGTAAATCAGTT